AATCGTTTGGCGGTTGAAGCATCTAAGTGTAAAGTACTGCTCAAGGATTGGGTTTCACCTGCTCCCATGCTCACTCTCGAAGGTGCATAACTTGAACAGGTAGATAGTTTCACCTATCTTGGGAGCTGTTTCTGCTGACGGCACTATCAACAAAGAAGTTTTTCTTCGCATCGTTAAAGCTCGATCAGCTTTTGTCAATCTGAGGCACTTGTGGCGTCGTCGCGACGTCTCATTTTCACTAAAGGGCCGCGTTTATAGCGCATCAGTTCGCTCAGTATTGTTGTATGGGAGCGAGTCCTGGCCGATTCGCGTGGAAGACATGCGTCGTCTTTCTGCCTTCGATAAGGGTTGCTTAAGGAGGATCGCTCGTGTTTGGTAGCAACATCGAGTTAATAGTAATGACGTTCGACGTCGCATCTTGGGGAATGCGAGTATGCCCTTCAACAAACTGGTTTTGTTGCGCCAGTTGAGATGACTCGGTCACGTCCTACGCATGGCACCTGAGCATCTACCGCGTCCCGCTCTATTTGTTCTTCAAGAACCTGGCTGGAGGCGACCGCGTGGTGGTCAGTCTTCCACATGGCGGCAGCACATGAAAACGCTGACGTCGTGTCTAGCCGCTGTTGGATCCGTACATCTTCCAGGATAGGTACCCAAAGATGAGGAGTGCCAATGGCTTAGCACTCTTGAAGACATGGTCCGCAACAGGAATCAGTGGAAGAATTGCGTACAGTATTGTATCGATCCACATGTTTAATACTACAAAGATTGAAAGTGAAAAAAGAGTGAAATAGGCGTGTGAAAAAAACTAAAGAGGTTTTGTTCTACTTTTTGCTAAAATGTTCCATTCTTCTTGCGGCATACTACTACTACTACTACTACTACTACTACTACTACTACCGCAGTGCAAATTTTACCTTACAGGGTCGGCGCATCGAGCTTTTGCTATATGGTTCGTGGCCTTGTCTTCAATTCCACAGGCGCTGATACAACTGACTAGGTCGTTGAATTGCTGAACATCTAGATGATCAACAGCAAAGGTGAGCGCAGGAGGCAGTATCTGTCAACCCCGAAGGAACGTTTTGCACTTTGAGGGGGCCAAGAAAAGCCCGAAACTCCTGACAAGCAGTGCTAATCTGTCTACTGCTACTTGCTACGTTTGTGAGCTGTCACAGATAAGGGCAATGTCGTCAGCATATTCCAGGTGGGAACAGCTCTAGCTTCAAGTGATACCGAGTGAACAAGTCTTATGACTTCGTCTATAGCGAAGTTGAACAGGAAAGGTAATAGTAGGTATTCCCGTATACACCACCGGTAATAATGAAGAATGGAGTCAGCCTGACGTAAGCCCTCACTTTGCCCGAACTACGCGCGTAAAGCGCTAGCATAATGTTTATACATTTCTGGAACACAACTTTCCTTAGCAGACTGTCCCAAAGAGTAAATCAATACATCGAATCGAAGGCACCTTAAATGTCAAGAAACCCGACTATGGTGGGTCACCAATATATGTGAAAAAGTGATTGACGCAGCTTCGATTTCGAGGAAATCTGGCTTGCTCCTCACGATTTTGGATTTCACGAGTGTCAGTCAATCTGTGAAGGATGACAGAAGCAAATAACTTGGAGGGGATGGAGATTAGTCGGGTTCCACTATGGTAGCCACATTCAGAACGTGAACCTCCCTTGAAGAGCGGAATAACAACGCGGCTCGAGCCGGTTGGAACAGTTACCTGCTCTCACATTTTCACTAATGATTTGTGTAAATGATCCACAAGTGCAGGTGGCCCGAATTTGAACGGGGTTGGGTGAAGAACATCTGGTCCTGCGGCCTTATGCAACTGCAGCGGTCCTATCTCACGTTCCATTTCTGAACGATCACTGGCCGGCGAGAAACCTGATAATTCCGGTTGATTAAATTACCTTTCAAAGTGCCGGACCAAGCAGTGGAATAATTCGACAAGTTGGGACTCGGCTATCCAATTTTGTCATACATAGTTCTACTAGCATCAAGTCACCTGCTGCCCGTTTCTCGTATCAGAAAAAATGAATTCCGACGGTTAGCTAGAGCAGCGGCACTTCCACCTCAGACGTTCGATGTGACCGCGAGGATTAGCGGTCTGTCTTCAGGCTAGCACGTAGTTTTGCCCAGAAGTCTTTGTGTGCCTCCTTATGTTCGCTTTCAGCCGGAATGTGCCGGCAAGCATCGATAAGTTCCAGAGACTGTGGAGACCCAATGTCCAGATTGGTGATTTGATTTACCCCATGTGGATTTGCCTGCTGCTAATAATGTCTGATGAATATGCGACCAGTGAGCTCCAACTGCGTTCAGTGAGCGCATACTCAACCCGAATATCAGTATATTTTGATACGCATTCCGAATATTTGGCTTTGCAAATTGGTGGGTGGGTATGTGCTCATAGCGTCGTAGCGGGGGTCCGCCAAAACGCACCCAGAGATCAGCATATACAAGTGCATGGTCAGTATCCACACTGTTACGGAGAGTCAGCGTTCAAGCCGAGAGCAGTGGATCGATCCACAATTAGAGCTCGAATGCGAATATAGAACAAAATGCGAATCTATGAGGAATCAATGGCAAGTTGGACCATGAACTTGAACCGTTTGTATTGTGTTTATTAATATTAATTAGCATTGCCAATTTTGTTGTGTTAGTGGTTTCCTACAACCTATTTATTACACCATGCTCTCATACAATAGAATCCGAATCGGAATCCAGATCCCTCGGACCGGCTGGTCTTGGTGTTTTCATTTCGTGGCGGGTTGAACTGGTTGGGGGCGGTACAGCAGATTCAGACAGGTTATCCGTAAAGTCAGCGGAAACCACAACACATTTCTGGCAACGGTCAGCTGCACTGTAGCAGCAGGTTAGCCGTACATTCAGCGGCACCACAACACACATATGTGCCCCAAAGCGATCGATAGTTTTTGGACGAAACCTCTCCAGCGGTAACTGATCGCGAGGTGATCGATTTGCGTCCATGGCTGGTGGACGCCATGTTACCTTCAGGCGGGCGCTGTGGCGGAAGTTATTGCTCGCGAGAAATAGGCGAGTAACTTCACACAAAAGGAGTAATCCCTCCCCGTTTTCATTACGGCAGCCTACACCGTAATCGCTGCCTAGATGAAGCTCATTAGTGGACAACTTGGGCGTTCAGATCCCCAGCCAGTACTACAGTATCCGCGCTTCTCCTGCAACGAAGGAGCTCGTTCAGTGGGCGATAGTCAGCACTACACTCTGTGGGCTCCATCTCGTTAGAAGACGCAGTGTCTATGTAGTGATACTTCGTCAAGAGCCCACAATAATTGTATTCCCCTACGACGAGTTCGAGCTAATTGTGAGCACTCGGTCATGATGCTGACAATCTCGTAGCGACGTATCGCGAACGTCGTAGCTTTCCGGAATCCGTACAGATGTAGATAAAAGTCCGCCACAAATGGAATGCGTCGCGCTCATGCTGTCTTCCAAATTGTCATCTTCGAGTGAAGTGACAACGAGTGACTTCACTTCAACTATAGGCTGTGCCATTAAAGGAATGAGTCGATGAACCCCTATTCTCACAGGTAGGAAACAACCATTGGAGGTGTTTGGTCGATTGGTGTACCTAGACGGCTGCATCACCTCTGGTAGTCCAAGTATGAACAATGCAAATGCTTGCAGCAGCGTGATTCGAATGACACTGTAAAGAAAAACGATAGCCTATGACTCAAGAGTAGTGGGACAAGGCCGCGGTGCGGCCAGTATGACCGTATAAATCATAAACAGGGATCTTGTCTTTAAATAAGATAAAGTGAGTGGTCGTCTTTAATCAGTATTACTTGCTACCTGCTCTGCTCACGTCCAATGGAATGAGGTGGCTCAACAGTTGAGATTTGATAACAGCCCCACTGGTGCTGGCCAGAGTAGTGCCTATTGAAAGCCAACTGCCTCTGTTGGCAATCTAACGCGTGCCTGCCGATTAGATGGCTCAGTGTGTACTGCTTATCGATCCGGAGCCGAGCTGATTGAGGAGAAGATCGGTCGATGAGGACACGAAAAAATTAACCGAGGCTGAACAGGTAAGTGCATTTAGCCCTTCTGGATCGTTTATATCAGAAGTTAGGGTCCAGTTGAAATATGGAACGGTCAAAAAATTAATGGGGTTCGCACATTCTAAGTGCTAGTTCTGGTTAGTAAACCTTTCATGTGACAATAACGAAGTCTCTCTATCGCTCTGGAAGTCTCTCATGGAAGTCTCTGCGGTCCACCAGTGACATCCGCGCCAAGGCGAATTAGCAGTACTTTGATGGGAAAGTAATGATACTACGGTTCGGTGATCAGAAAACAATTTTTCAACTATAGGGAGGGGAAACAGTGGTAAGTAGTAGATATGCGGTGAACATGCGGAGAAAAGATCGCACTCAGCGAGTCTAGTGATCCACGGGTTGACCCATAAGCTGCAAGGCGATGGTATTAAGTACTCCGAGACGACCTGAACCATGAAAGCTATACAATTGTGATCCATTACGCCGGATGCGATGAACCATGGGGAATCGGCTAGAAAGCATCGAAGCACGTGGAGAAAACACATCTAGGACAATCGACCGCTCGTTGAAAATCAAATGGCGTGGATTCAAAAAGGGTTATAATAAAGATGGGCCGCTCTTAGTGTCGTTGGAGTAATGTCCTTAGGTGTGAACAGGCGTTATGAGGTATTTAACCGGAATACGAAAGCACAAAGTTGAATCGTCGGCTAGAGAAGGGAGCAAAACATGTGAAAACAACAAACTAGCGTCAAGCAGGTCGTTCCTGAGGTAACAAAACAGTAAGGAATCAGTCCGCAAATGTGATTGAAAATGATGTGCTTAAAAATAATAATTTCAAAACATCTAAAGGTACATGTAATTTCCCTTCAGATAAACAACAGAAGGTGGACAGTCACAAACAGAAGCGAACCAAAACAATTATAGCATGGTACGAGAACCGCATATAGCATAACTTACACAAAGCATCCAATTTTTGCCCCTGATGATGATGGAGAAAACGATACAGGTGGTAGCGCCCCTCATCACTTGGTGTGCGTTTAGCAATACAATGGGGCTCTATTGTACGCTCGCAAATAGACGTGGTTATGATTTCCTTCTCCAAGTCAATCATCTAAATACAGAGAACGAGAAACAAGTCGATGTGAAAGGGGTACTGCATTTGGAGAAGGGAATGCATCGAGCGATGCACATCGCATAGGAATGGCCAATTGTGTAAGAAACAGGTGACAAATAGTCTATTAAGTCCAGTACAAAACGATTTGACTAGTGCCACAAGCAGTACGCCGACACATGATACCGACGCGTCGCTGCCACATAATCACCACCAGTCGCGCGTGCGCTGGGTCCGCACCTATGCAGATTCATAGCGGTGACCTTTGGATTACAGAGCAGGTGCCTTATGCTGCCAGTCATCGGCAGCAATTAGTTACAGTAATTAGACGAGAGCAATAGAAGGAGTGTCCGTTTCCGAGGCTGAAGCGAAACGGTGCACGACGACTAGCAGGAATAGAGCTGACGATGTTACGTCAATGGCGAGTCCAAAAACACGATAATGTGTACCAGGACGCCCAAGATGAGACCGGATGATAGCTTGATGCAAATAATAACCAAGCTAGTCGAATCTTTTCAAGTAGTGTCTGAAACGCATTTACTAAACAGGCCAATGGGTAGAAGTCAAACGATCTCTCTTTCAATAATCTCAGAACCGGATGGTTGGAAGTGGTTGATGGCTCACATCCATAAAAAGCCGCGTATGAGGGACAACAAATAACGGTACACTATGAAGTTTTGGTCGCATGACGTTGGAGATGCGTGTCAGTTTCTCTACAGTTCGCTACCGCTGCTCTAAGTTAGGCAACTCATTATCAGTAAGATGCAAACCCTCAAAACTCCACTGCGATTGTTAATGGCGGTGGGCGTATCGCACGCTACTCTCGAAGAACCCACACGAACTGTTGTGCAGCCTCTAGTGCCGCGTGTGGCTAGCCTCAAGCAGATCCTAATGCGATTCTACAGTAAAACTCTGAGTATACCTATTGTTCAAAAACTTCGAGTTGGATACGAGTTAAATTAAACCTTGGAAGCTACCCCGTTGGGTCGAGTGTTAGACACCGAAAGCCGCGAACAAAACTGTCGAAATTCGCGGTCAATAAGTTTCATTTGACTCCAAAGCTCCGTCACCGTTTTCCACTCCTTTTTAGTGTGCAAGAGTATTCTAGAGTTCAACGTTAACTGGGTTGTTTGAGCGTAAATCCCTTGACATAAATACAAATTGCATATTGATCTAGGCACAGAAAGTGCGCCAGAAGTAAATAGACCGATAACGTATACACAACCACCGCGACAAGCCCAGATCATGGCTGGCTAGTGCGGCGATGAGGATCTTTGTATGAACTGAGCAATCAGTCACCGGTTCCCAATGGGCGCGATTCCCTGAATTCGCTCCGCTGCATTGCGGGCAGGCTATTCAGCCAAAGGCTCGGGGTGGTGTCCCCTAAGTCAACCGGGTAGTATCTCACCCTCTGACAAAACCATGGACTTTAATGTGTTGTGATTTCTTTTACAATTGCTGTACCTTCTGTTGTGTTCCATGGTTTCTGATGGCTCTATGTCTATTCATAGACTGTTGCAAATATATATATATATATATATGTGTGTGTGTGTATATATATATAATCTCCGCCGGTAATTACTACGCCTGGAGCACGATCCCAAGTTCGGTCACCTCCATCGGACAGGGCAAATAAACAACAAATTACCAGTGAAGCGCACAGTTGGCAACAGGCGAAAATCGTTCCAGATAAATCAGGAAGAGATTTAGAAATCGGCGTTGTTGTAGCTTGACCTTTAATCAAGTCAAGGAGATCGTTTCACATCGCATCTTCGGGAGATCGTACTCTCTGATGACAGACCATGCTCGTCATACACATGCTGACCGCGTACCTTGGAGCACCCAGGTTGCAGTTGCTTCACCGAACCAGGTGGATGCGCTGGGTGGCACATAGAGGTAGCGGTAGGTAGGCATAAAGAATTCGGCAACAGAACTTGTCAGGCTTGGTTGAAAACCACGTTCCACGGCGTGACTGCACTCCCACTCTTGCATCGAGCCGTTAGTATTCCGACCCGATGAACACTAGCTGGTTCTCATCAGAGATATCAGCCGTGCGGCGGTACCTCAAATTGTCGCTTCATTGACACGTGACGATCACCAATCGCACACTGGTTAGTTGAATGATGAGGTCGTCCGCGGCTGCGTTGGTTCCAACCGCAAACCTGTGGGTCACAAGCCAGACGCTTGAACCACTCGGCCAGTGGCTGGCAGTTGCCTTTCCCTACCAACCCACCGTTCGTTTTGTTTAACTTTGAGTCTCGACCCACTTTTACAATAACTATCAATGATCCCTGTCAGGGCGGCGCGAGCCAAAGCAACTGCACCCACAGCATTCCGGTCCCCGTAATACACAATTTTAATCGAATAAAAACGACAAGTAAAAGTTTAATTCCAGATTCAGAACAAATGAACAAAGAAGGATTTCATGTGTGGATAAAGCCAGTTTTAGCCGAATGTGGTTGCGTGGTAACTGGCTTCATAAATAAGTTCAGTGCAGTTCATGATACAGAATACTTACACGTTCGGAGAATCTGTTTAAAATAAGGCGTCTCAGCGCACTAAAACGTTGTGGTACTGCAACGCATGATCGGTAAGAAAGTAGGACTCCGAAGTGCAATGTAACCATGTGGCCTGTTGGCAAACAACCAAGTTCAAGCACTTTACAAAACACAAGCTACGTTGGACGGTTACAAAACCGAGTAAAGCAAGAACTTATAAGTTATGGTTCCGGCAAAGCAGAAAGATACAGAGAAGCCCAATTAGTTATGCGATGAGCATAAGAGGATACACTTATATTTAAGCCATTATCGCATCAATTCTAAAAGCATGGATGGGAGTAAATCGTACGCGAATGAATTCACATGAAAATGTCATCTTGATGGTTCAGGAAAGCACTAAAACTAAGAGGTAAAGCCTGTACTCACCAACTGGACATATTGTAGTTCCCCTTGAGCAAGGCGTTCCGTAGCTGCCTTGGCTTCCTCCGTGAAGTCGAACAAAATGGAGCCGATCGTCTGGCACACTCCGTAAAATCCTCCTGGTGTCTTTGGTTGCCGTAACTTACAAGGTTAGTGAAAAGTATACCTCTTCGTTCAGAGCAATCTTTTCTTCTTCAGTAGCGGTCAGTGGAGCAGGAGTGTCCTTGGAGGCAATGTGCTTGTCGAAACCAGACAAACAAACATCGACCTAAAAATGCACAGATAAGACAAGTGCATACCTCATAGCTCCCACAGAGCTCTTCCTTAAGCAGGTGATCACCAAACTGCTTGCGCAAAGTAGCTCGCGTAGAAGCATACAACATTTTATCACGAACCTAAAGAGTGAGATGGTAAACGTGATTCGAAAGTTACACTGGCACCCTCCGGCACCCAATTGATGAGTACCCAGTCGTGACCGAATTGGGAAACGGTATCCAGCTTATATAGTATATAGGAAGGACGAACATCATCTAGCATAGGCAAAATCAATTCATTGTAGTCGGTTCTCCAATCACCTCGCATAACAGCGGTACTAGTCACAACAAGTGACTCGTCATCAATACACACTTGCAGAACCCGAGTATCATTCTGCTGAGCAGAGGTCAACTGACTAACAACGTATTCGCTTGCTGAAAACAGTCAGTATGGAAAAACCGAAGTCCGTACCGTGAATTCCACTCTGATGCGTCATATATGAGGTTCAGCTTCAGTTTGAGTGTGACTGATGAGAAAGTAGTATCCTGAGAGTGTTGCTCCCCGACTACGCCGCTGAGTCGAAATTCGACAATGCAATTTGAAAATTTGGTAAACCTGTATCGAGACACACAAAGAGGCATTGCGGTAGAAATCGGAAACATATGACCGCAATTAATATAATAATATATATATATATATATATAATATATATAATATATATAATAATATAATATAATGTTGTCACAGATCTTCACCCCAATACTGTCGGCGCTTCCGGTTTCCATCGACGCAGATCCGATCAGGTGCACTGGAGATCAACTTGTGACACCAACAATCGTGTCAACCGTCCGTGTGGCTGCGGACCACACAAATAAAGCTGGTTTGGACAGCGTATTTAGCCCTACCATGAACATAGCTGAATTACGGGTTCATGAGCCCAGTAGAGTAAAGCGATAGAGATAGGAAATTCCAGAAGCTCTCTGTGATGTTCAGGTTAGCCCCGAGTTTTGGCTGTCAGACCTAGAATTCGCTGACGATACCGCTATCCTTGCAGAAGATCTTATATCACTACAGTCACAGCTAAATCGGGTCGACCTCTATGGTCGGCCTCGAAATTAACGTCAGCAAGACGAAGTACTTCTCACCGTCACCAATCCAGTTTGCTCCGTCGCTCTCCATACATGGACAACTCATCGAGTCTGTTCCTGAGTTCAAGTACCTTGGATCCACGTATTGACAGTGCCAGAACAGCCTTCTTACAAACTGAGACAGGTTGTGGCGAAGGACGGAACTTAGACTGAGAACAAAAATCCGAGTATTCTCAACAACCATTCGTGCTATTTTACTCAATGGTTGCGAAACATGGCCGTTACGGTCAGAAGACACACGGAATCTGGAAGTTATCGACTATTAGTGTCTAAGGCATACCATGAAAAAACAGTGGCATAAGCTTATCATTAATGAGGAAGTTCGTAAGCGCTGTTACGGTCTTCCGAAGCTCTCAGCGCTTATCCAACACTGCAGACTACAGTGGTTTGGTCACGTCCTCCGCATACCAGACACTGATTTCACTACGGCCGTGATTTCGCCCTCGCCTTGTCAAGGTTGGCGTCGTCACCGTGGTGGACATTTGAAAACGTGGCTAGCTGCAGTGAAAGTGGATGTCGATCTTCTGGGACTCCAGATTGTGCATGGTGCTCGTCACTGGAAAAATGATTGGATCAGTATCTGCGTTCAGTTTGCCGCCGACCACCGTAGTTGGGCAGCTGCAATACGCGACATTCCTGAAGCCGATTCATTCTGTCGCAGGAGGTAGTCTCAGTAAAGTAAAAGTAAGTCTGCTAATCCCGGAGACTTAGTTGTCTCGGCATTGGGATAAAAGCAGATGTCGTCATTCGCAAAGCCGTTTGACCATTGCGTAGAAGAAAAAATTCTCACACGCACTACTTGTCAGTTGAAGGTGCTGGCCAACTCGGCTGCCACTGATGAGGCGTGTTCTGACGGCTTGTTGGACTCTGCTCCATGCGACAGTCACGCACCCTGCTTCTGTTAACCAGAAGAAGAAGTGGACTAAAGCTACCCGTAAGCCACCGGGCCTACTCGAAAACCCGAAAAAATAAGACAGCGACAATGAAGCGAAAAACATACGCTTCAGTTGCTTCAACGTCACTTGAGGGGATAGGGACAGTCCCATCACCAGTGATGAAGCCACCTGGTACAAATGTTGAATCAAAGAAGAGTGGGGCAAACACACCGCACCGTGGTGATAATTTGTGGATAGTAGCGTTATAACCCGTAAGGTGACAGAATCCACTGGAGTCCACCCTGCTGAACACATACTGGACGACCTCAAGTGGGTTAAACTGTGCGTCACCAAGCTGCTTCCACCAGGCTTACCTGACCAGAATGGGGAAGTTCCCTGTCAGTACGCCAAATCCGCGACCCCAAATATTTCGCGCGATCCTTCCTACCCCGAATGAAGGCAAAGCGTAGTAATGTCGGCGCTCAGCCAGAAAGCTGAAGAGCATGACCCAGGTGGTTGTTCCTAGGTCTCTAACGTAGTACTTGGCAAAGGGAGTAGTCTAAAGAACCAGGTACACCAGTTGCGTCGAAGAGCAGACAAAACCCGTCGCGACATACTCCCTTTCACTGAAACGTGCTTGTATCCGCATATCACAGACGGTGAGGTAGGCATAGCTGGCTCCGCACTGTTTAGAACTGATCGCTCCGTTGGTCGTATTTTATGTGAGCTATAAAGTAGGTGTGTTGACCTGCACATTTCAGTCGTTGGATCAGACTGTGGAAGCCCTATCGGCTGTTGTGTGCACTTCCTCTGCACAATGTACAGTTGCAATGGTACACAGGAGTCCTGTAAGTACCTCCAGGGAAGTTTATCGATTTCATTCGCACTCAGTCTACGAATAGGTCTCTAGTTCTAGGGGATTTCAACCTTTCGGAAGTCTGTTGGGCCGATCTCTCGCGAAATTCGGCGTCAGGAACATTCGGTGCAGAATTTCTTAAGCTGAGTCGGCCGGTGGCCGAATGGTCTGCGCGCCTGGTTTGCAACTAGAAGGTCACCGGTTCGTATCCACGTAAAGGTAGGCGTCCTCGCGGCATACTCAGCCCACGCGCGACTGGTGATGGCCGCGTAGCAGCGAAGCGTCGTTCCGGCGTACAGCTAGCGAGTTAGTTATTTTTATTATTCTTTAGCTGACCTTCCAAGCGCCGTTGCACCAGTACGTGAATTTCCCCAATAGGTTCATGGACAAACAAATATCAGCTACTTTAGATCTGGTTTCCGCGAAGTCCTTTAACTTCGCAACTGACCTTTCGTACGGCACACCTATAGCATCCGGCAATCACGTGTGCATATTCTTTCGGTATGCTCTTTCAAGATACCAACAGACTGCCGTTGAATTGCTTCCGAATACTTGGCGGGCGGACTGTGGATCGATGCGAGCTGAGGCTTCAGTTCAGAACTGTGAAATCTCGAGAGCGGACTCTGTCCAGTTAGCTTGGGATAAATTCCAGGCATATCTTAAGGAGGTTTCTGCTCCTTACATATCACTCATGAGGAAAAGTGGGCAACGGACACATCTTCCATGGATAGATTCCAGAGGCAAATACCTACTCAAGGAACAGTCTAGATGCTGGCGAAACTACCAAGTAGCTCCATCAGTCAGTACCTACGACAATTAGCGAAAGATTAGTAATAAACGTAAGCAACACCTCAGGACTGCACGTCACCAATGCGAGAAAAGTTTGGCTGACGGCGTCCGCTTATCCCAAGAAACGTTACTGCGAGCAGACGGGACCAGCGAGCACACCGACTATGATAATGCCTGTATACTTAGCAAACAGTATCCGACTGGCTTTGCTGGGAGGACCACTTTCATCATCATCATTATTACACGTTAGTTGAAAGTGAGAAACACACCTCAGCTGAAGTGCCGCAATACAAAAATAATACGAAACTAAAAGATACAGACTACGAAGCTAAAGAAAGTAACATAACACCAAACATTACATTATGCGTAGGGTTTGAGATCGTCGTTGGAAGGGAGGCTAAAGTGGAGGATGGCAGAGTGACTCACAACACAAACGCAACTGAAGTCGGCTCCTCTTTATGTCAGCTAGTCTATCCAATTAAACTGAATACTGAATACTGTATTTTGGAGCAAGTAGAAAATAATTCTGTACAACTCCATCGGGTGATAATCAAAAACATTTAAAAAATAAATAAACACGTCCGGTGGTTATCCTGAGATAGTTCGGCAACTCTCTATGTAGCACACAAAATGCTTGTTCACACAGTGAGTCACAAGTGGGTGATATCGTTGTCAAGTGGCAACCGTTCTCTGAAACGTATGTTAGCGAAGTGCAAATCCAACAAAGATTTGAATTTCTGCACAGATTCGGCCTCGACGACGTGTTCTGGCAGACTGTTCCAGGCGTGCACAACCCTCCGCTCGAAACACAGGGGGTGTGGGATTTTCTTCAGATCAGATACCACGAGTTTGTACCTGTGCCCACGTGTGGTGCATGGTACTCGCAAGTGGAGTAACGACCTCAGCATGGGGAAATGACCGAGATGTAAAATACGGTAGGTCATGATAAGATCCACTCGAACACGGCGATACGACAAGGTGTAGAGCCCAAGGTTCATGCACCGGTTTTCATACGATAAGCATCTCAAGCCGGGGATCAGCTTGGTGGCGACGTGTTGTACTCGTTCGATCTTTTGCGCTTCGCCGCGAGTGATCGGACAGTATGCAGGCGAGCCGTACTCTAGCATTGGTCTGACGATGGAAGAGAAGAGGCGAGTGGCGACGTCTTCAGACCAAGTGCAGAAGCTGCGCTTCAGCGCCCAAAGCATGCGCAGTCCGTTTCAAACGTGTTCATCGTTCGTCGGTCCCCAGACTGGCAGTTTGGAAACATCAACCGATGCCAAGTCCGAAGTGAGGGACTTCATTCCTCTTGACCAAGTCATCGCTTGGCCTCCCCACCTCTTCCTCCATCCAGACCCCGGGCGCGCAAACAACGCACGATGCGGGAGCCGGTGTGCGGACAAGCAAAACACGTGGCCTAGCCATCGGAGCCTGATGAGTGATAGAATGGTGTTTGGCGGTTCATTCGCTCTTGCTGCAGCAAATACACGGCGCCAAACACGCTCATTACTCACGCGGTGTTCCCACCAGACATGCGCTGTGCTGCGAAGGCAGCGATGGTCGAACGTAACAAGCCTCCTTAAGTCTGTCGACTCGACGGGCTAGGTTTCGCAACCACACAGGAGGTTTGAACGCACAGTTGCATTGTACAATCTGCCATTCAGAGCGAGAATGATGTCACGCCGGCGCCACAGGTAGCGGAGATCGGCAGGTTTACGCTGTAACGGCGCTTCGCTGCCGTACGACGACCACCAGCCGCACTCGGGCTGAGTATACCGCGAGCACGCTCACCTCTACGCGGGTCCGAATCCGCGCCGTAAGATTACGAGATAGGCTACGGTCTATGGGCCGATTGGCGGAGATCAGCAAAAGCGGCTCGAACCTTTACTATACGGTTCGAGACCTCATCTTCGATCCCAAGAGTGCTAATATAGCTGCCCAGGTACT